AAAACACCCCCCTGCCCCCAGCTCCCCTCCCCTCCCCCAAGAAAACATCCTTGCTTTGTTAACCTGACAGTTCACTGGAGGTGTTGACACAACCCTCCATCTTTGAGGAGCTTAATGTCAACAAATCAGTGTGTTTGGAGTAGCCCTGTCAATGCCATTTACATTAACTTGTCTAACAAGAAATAAAAACAACAAGCAGCCATCAAAGACAAAAGGCTTTTTCAGTCATTCTTTTCAAAGGATTATGCTGGAAATGTTCATTTTTGGAGGCCGTGGCCCTTTACTTGCTGAAAACCAGAAACCACCTTTCCCCCCCATACTTCTTTTTCCCTAAAAGATTTTTTCCTTAAAAAAAGAAGAGTGTTTTTCTTTTAAAGGGGACACAAATATCCCAGATTAATCAGCTCCACAGCAGCAAACACCTCTCCCTGGTTAGTGCAGGAAGAGGGAAGCCTTGAAAGCCAAAATGTTAGTTCAACTTTGATTTCCATCAGTGTTTCATTTGCTTTGAGACATTTTGGGCACTTAGTGGAGAATTTTCAAATTGTGGCTCTAAACCACCAGAAACATTTCACACATCACTGGGATGCACCAAAACCCTGGGAATCCCACTGGGAACTTTTCTCCTTCTTTGGGCACCAACAGGGGCTCGGCAACCTGGAGTAATGCTGCAAAATGCAGATAAATTCCACGAATTCCTCTAATCCAGTGGTTTTCATCATCTCACACAATGTCTACTCTGATGATCTAAAGGAAAAATCATGGATTTCAATTCCTGTGTGGACACTAGAGAAAGCAGAGACTCTTTAGGCCCTGAGTCAGGATTGTGGTCTGGATTGCCTTTGCTACTTGAACCAGATAACCTGACTGCCCAGAGAGGTGGTGGATGCCCCATCCCTGGAAAAATTCAAGGCCAGGCTGGACAGGGCTGTGAGCGGCTGATCTAATTGAAGACAAAGTCATAGAATCATCATGGTTGGAGGTGACCTCTAAGATTATCAAGTCCACCCATTAACCTGCCACTCTGCTGTAATCCCTAAACCATATCCTCCAGCGCCAGATCCAGATGCCTCTGAGACACTTCCAGGGATGGTGACTCCACCACGCCCCTGGGCAAACCTATTCCAGTGCCTAACCACCACAGAGAAGACATTTTTCCTAACATTTAATCTGAATCTCAAAGATGCCCCAGTTTATTGCAAGCAGGTGGCACAAGATGTCCTTTAAAGGTCCCTTCCAACCTGAACCAGTCTACAGAGCTCCCTCAACCATACTAGGATTCCCAAGAAACAAAGGGAAAATTCAGCCTCATGCATCCAAAGCACATAACCTAATGCCCAAATCTTGGCTTGGAGCTGCCTTTCAGCTCTCTCAGCACCTCTTCACCCCTCTTCAAAGTGTTGAGTCACACAGACCTTCCAAGGTCACTTGACCTGCCTTGGGGCAAGGTGGAGTCTTGACCCCAGGGAGGTTTCCTGCAGCATTGTAGGACAATGGGATTACTCACACCCTGCATGGTGAGGACTCCCCTGCCTTTCTGCAGGCTCAGGACTTTGGCTCTGCTCTATTCCTGGCTGACACTTCGTCCTGGTGTAATTTTAGCACAGTAACCACCGACATGCCCAGGCTGAGCTGCTTTGATCAGCAGGTGAAGGTGTAATTACCGAAGGGACAAAAGGCAGCTGAGCAGCTCAGCTCCTGACACTTGCTCAGCTCCTGACACTTGCTCAGCTCCTGACACTGACACTCTTTTCTTCCATAAAAACTGCAACTTCCAATACCAGGAGAACACTTTTGACTCTTTAAAAATAGTATAAATTGAACATGAAGGTGCTCAAATATCAGCACTGGAGAACAGGGGCATTTCCATACCAGCAAATGAGGACACAAAGGGATAGTGCAGCAGAGTCCATTTCTAGGAATTAGAAGATGCACCAAGGATGCTCCTCCATGGATGGTGCATAGTGACTTGCTCTGAGAATCACAGAACAGTTTGGGTTGGACAGAACCTTCAAGATCACCTTATTCCAGCCCCTCTGCCATGGGCAGGGACACCTTCCACTAGACCATGTTGCTCCAAGACTCATCCAACCTGGCCTGGAACACTTTGAATGATGGACCAGCCATAACGTCTCTGGGCAACCTGTGCCAGTGCCTCACCACACTCACAGTGAAGAATTTTCTCCTAATACCCAATCTAAACTTACTCACTGTCAGTGGGAAGCCATTCCCCCTTGTCCTGCCACTCCAGGCTCTGGTAAAAAGTCCCTCTCCATCTTTCTTGCAGGACCCCTTCAGGTTCTCTTCTTCATGAACTACTCACAGTGTGGAAATCCTGTCTTTTATAGTTGGACCAGACTGGAAACTCATCTCAAACAGGGCAGCAATTCCTGAGACCATAATGCTACAGAACTTGATCACTCTATTACGCTGAATCATCAGCTCTCGCACAGATAATCTGGGCTAGATTTGGGGTGGCAGTATAGAAACAGTTCTACCTTGCCCCTAGCACGGAATCACAGAATATCTGGAGTTGGAAGGGACTCACAAGTATCATTAAGTTCAACTCCAGGCCCTGCACAGGACACTCCTGAGAATCCCAGCATGTTCCTGAGAGCATTGTCCAAAGACTCCCTGAGCTCTGTCAAGCTTGGGGCTGTGACCCCTGCCCTGGGGAACTCTTCCAGTGCCCAACCACCCTCTGGGAGAAGAACCTTTGCCTAATATTCACCTAAACCTCCCCTGACACATCTGCATTGCCTCAGACAGGTGTGGGCACTTCCACACCCTATCTCCTGCATTTCCTTAGCAAAGTGCAGGAATTTTAAACTGTTCCTGAATAACCACTGGAAAAAAGCCTTTGAACCCTGTAAGGATGAGACACCAAGGGAGCTGAAGATCTTTCAGATCCACCCTGGTTCTTTCTGGATTGCTCTCACCCACCTGCAAGGGGACATGAGGATCCACCAGCAACATTCAGTTCATCTTCACACTCCTCTAATGGAAGAAACTCCAATATATAACAAAACATTCCAGACCTACATCTCCTACAAAGCTTTGAACTAGATCAGACTGCAGAACCTCACTGAGGTGCCTCCCCATCTCACAAGGCTGTTAGGAGGATCAGTGTTGTGCAAGGCTTTGAAGATACTGCACAGCAAATGTAACTGATCTCCTCCCCTCGGTTGAGTCCTTTCTAATCCAGGTCTGGAAGAGAAAATGCTACTTCAATGTGTCTGGGTGATTTTTAGACCAATTAGTGTCCTCCCAGTCTCCAAAACAATTCTGACTCACTCAAAAAGGCAACATTAATATTTAAGGAAGATAAATCACTCCAAGTCCACCTCATAAATCATTGTGGGCATCTCTCCACATCCTCATCTCTCCTGCTAGCCATGCTTCATGCTCCAGTGCAGAGACCAATCTCCCTGTCAAGTTCCATTACTTGCTTCTAATACTCCCAGGACAATTCCTGGAAGTGATCTCCAGGTGATAAACCACCCCTGGGGAGCCACATCTCCCTTTTTAAGGAGGAATACAGCAACTGTGGAATCCAACTATCTCCAAGCACCTCTTGAATCCAAAGAGCACCTGCCCCATGCTTGCTTGTGTGGCCACCAGCCACATTGCTTGGCTGCCAACAGATGAGAGTTTTTGGCAACAAATCTGGCCAAGAAGATGGATGAAAGCCCTCCTGACCTCTCTGCACTGGAGACAACACTTCCAGTGCCAATAGAGCCAAGAAAGCAATTTCTCCTCAACAACACCTCCAGGTGCAGAGAACCAGGAAAGACACTTGTCTTTTTTGGTAGTTCCACAGCAAATCAGTCCTTAGCTCCATCCTGCTACCAGATCTTCCTGCTGGGTTAGAGACACCCAAAGACATGAGGCTGCACAGTTTTGGGGCTGTAACACCTCCTAAAGCAGCTCTGGAGGGCTGGAACATCCTTCCAGAAGAGGAATCACAGGGCACAAACAAGCAGAATGAAGGAAAGTGCCACTGTGGAATCCTGAGTCTTCTCCTCCTATTTATGTTCAAGCTCATGGAAGACGCTCAGTGTGCCCAGGGTGTGTACAATCCTGGGCACCAGTAACAACAAAAAAATCACAGTCCCAGCAAGAAAGACCTGAAATTGCTCTTAGAACAACTCAGAGCTCAGAGGATTTGCTGTTTCTAAGTACCTGATTGCAGATCCTCCTAAGTATCTATCAAGACAGCTCAAACAAATCTCATTTAAAGGGGGGAAAAAGCTGCTTGAGCAAAAATGAAACTCCCTGATGATTGTATTTTTCCTATCCAAGGAGCCAACTCAGCCAACTGCAAAGAAATCAACATAAAGCACATTTTTGATGGCAGTAACAGCATAAACACAGGCACAGTTTAGACAGCAGAGAAAGGAAAGAAACATATGTTGCCTTCCAATGGAGCATATTTTGATGGAAGGCATCAGTGACTTGACAAACACTTGGAAATGTCTCTGGAGTTCAAGTAAGACACCCATAGACCGGAATTCTTGGAAAAAAAATCCTGGATGAACATTAAGTTGAGAGTTAAATAACCAAATTATAGGTGGGAAGTGACTGGTCCATGGTGGATTGTGGTATTGCCCTCGATCACATACAATTAGACCTGCAAGCATTTGGGTGACTCTCACTGAAGCTCAATCTCTCATAGCACATGAAATACCTTTAAAAATCATTTTTACTTCATAGCACTTGACAGCCTAAGGCCCCATTTCATAGAATCATAGAATGTTAAGGGGTTGGAATGGACCTTAGAGATCATCTAGCCCCAACCTCCTGCCCTGAGCAGGGACACCTCCCACCAGATCAGGTAGCTCAAGGATTTATCCAACCTGGCTTTGAACACTGCCAGGATTGGGGCATCCACAGCCTTCCTGGTTGTGGATTTCCACCACACTGCATCAAGTTTCAGCAACAACTGCATACTGGAACATCTGCGCTCCCAGACTGAAAACGAAAGGAAAGCGATGTCTCACCGGCAGGTGGGTGAAGACTGCGAAGGTGCTGCGTAGAAAGCCAATGAGATCCACAAGGTAGTCACTGGCCCTGCTGCCTGGCTCCATGGCCATCCAGTCGTAGTCTGCCAGCTGCAAGAACTGGTCAATCTTCTGGTTCAGGTTGGTGTAGATCTCCTCCTCAGCTGCATGGCGAGCGTCCTGCAGAACAACACCTCACATGGGATGGAGGTTCCATACCCGAAGTCTACACAAGGAACAGGATGTGGGATTGAGCCAGCCTCTAGCCCTAAAGGTAGCACATCCCAAAGGCAACTACAGGGCTGCTACAGCCTCAGGTCAGCTCAGACCTGTGGGACAAGTGCCACCAGGTCAGTGTTGCGCAGGATCAAGCTGGATTTTGCCTCTGATGCAACCTAGGGACCAGGAGGACTCCATACCCGAAGTCTACACAAGGAACAGGATGTGGGATTGAGCCAGCCTCTAGCCCTAAAGGTAGCACATCCCAAAGGCAACTACAGGGCTGCTACAGCCTCAGGTCAGCTCAGACCTGTGGGACAAGTGCCACCAGGTCAGTGTTGCGCAGGATCAAGCTGGATTTTGCCTCTGATGCAACCTAGGGACCAGGAGGACGAATCATCGTAGAATGTAATGTTAAGGGATTGGAATGGACCTTAGAGATCATCTAATCCCAACCCCCTGTCCTGGGCAGGGACACCTCCCACCAGAGCAGGCTGCTCAAGGCTTTATACAACTTGGCTTTGAACACTGCCAGAGCTGGGGCAGCCACAGCTTCCCCAGGCAACCTGTGCCAGTGTCTCACCACCCTCACAGGGAAAAACTTCTTCCTCATCTCTCATCTAAATCTCCCTCTTTCAATTCCTCCCCATTACTCCTTCTCCAGTCACTGTAGTACCTAACCCTGAGTTCCTCTGCAGCTTCCCTGTAGGCACCTTCAGATCCTGAATGGTTGCTATATCTAGTGGAGAATGGAAGAGAGATGGGAGAGGAACATCCTGTACGGAAAAGGGTTAAGACCCACCAAACTGCGTGCAGGTGTACGGGGCAGGTAGGTCACAGAGGAGCCTCCCTGCCAGAATAAGGACAGGAAACTCGCCTTTAGGCCAAATACTTAAATGATGCCAGGATGGACTTCCCTGGGGACATAAGACCTTAGTCTCTTGCTGAGTTATCCCAAGGGCAAACCTCAACTAACCAATTCCCTACTGTTCCCATCTCCAGCTCTCCAGCCATGGGCCACAATCCAAATAGCCCATGCTGGACCCAGTCATGGCCTTGAGGTATCATATAAAGTATCTGAGTGAACACTCCTGGGTTAGGATTTAAAGACTAGGAAGTCTAGGAGTTTCTGTCAGCCTTGATTTGGAGGGGATAGTCCTAAAAGGAGTGGAAAGATGCAGAAATAAGGTCTAGAAATCTATTCTCCTCTTGAGTAAAAGAGGAGAGGTCATGGCCATGGCCAGACGTGTAACACTGTGTGCAATTTCAAGAGCAAAATGGAAATTAATTTGAAAATATATAATAATAATAAATACTAAGGATAATATCAGGCTTTTGTTTAAAAGCTGCTTAATCCTTCAGACAATCAGTTCTGCAGTCACAGCCTCTAAATTATGGCCACAGACCCTCATGATCTCAACACAAGTAATACTCTGAAGGGCGAACTCAAAAGCAACAGCCTAACTTTCCCAAAATATGCCAAAATGACCTTTTGGCTCAGCTCAGCTCCCTCCAACACCATATCCATCTGCTTTGAGGCAGGTTCTCTCCAAGCAGCCACCAAAAGCACCTCCCCAGAGCCTTCTCACCTTGAAGGTTGTGGTCCCGTAGAGCTTGGTGGTGTGGACAGTTTCTGGCAAGACATTGGTGATGTTGGTGATGAATTCCTCCAGGAACTTGCAAGATTTCTCCAAATGGGTTGTGTTTATAATAATCTGGACAAGCTGTAAAGGCAAAAAAAGGTTTCAGCCATGGTGCTCCTGAAGCCAAGGACGTGCCAAGGTGAGTGGATGCCAATTTCCTAGGAGTTCTGGCATGACAAGCTGACATTGTGCAAACACACTGAGCTTTGCTGCACGCTCAAAGCCTCTCCTCCTTTAACAGCCCCAGAAACTCACATCAAAGATAATTTTGGGGGAAAAGCATTTCCCATGACAGCCACTAACACCACAAAAGACAACTTTTTTCCCCTGACTTGCTTACATTCAGCTGTCACTCAGAGCTCATGTCAAACACAACAGGCTCACCAAGAAAATGCCATGACAAATCACATGTCTTATGTTTGGCAATGAACCCTAACCAACCCATACCTTGAGTGACACCAACTGAGGCACTGAACAAAGAAACCACAAGGTTTTTACTTCTGCAAGGGTGCTGTGAGTGACCAGCAGATCCCTTACAGACCCAGAAGGCATTTCATGCTCTGGGTTAATATAATTTCATTGCTGGAGTATGGTGTGGCAGTCTGCAGTCAACTCCTTCTCAGAAATGGTTTTGAAACACTTCCAAATCTGCATGAAGTGGATTAGTCAGCAAATGAGATGGATTAATCAGCAGATGAGATGAAGTAATCAGCAATTTCAGTGTTGCAGGCAAAGAAATATGGAAGTAACACCTCAAAGGTCACAGGGCTCAAATCTTGCTCGTGCTGGATGACATGAAAAGGGTGATGGTCACAGTCTGGGGGGTTCAGTGTGGTTTAGGAAGGAAAAGAGACATTAGGAAGGTAGTGCAGAAATGGAACAAGGTGCCCAGAGAAGCTGTGGGGCCTCTATTTGGTTGAAATGAAGTCCCAGATGACATGATCCAAGTGAGCAATGATCCCACTCCCAGTGGAAAGTGGTGAGACACCGGCACAGGTTGCCCAGGGATGTTGTGGATGCCCCAACCCTAGCAGTGTTCACAGCCAGGTTGGATAAAGCCTTGAGCAACCTGATCTGGTGGGAGGTGTCCCTGCCCAGAGCAGGAAGTTGGGACTAGAAGATCTCTAAGGTCCATTCCAACCCTTTAACACACTAATACCTACAGAGGTCCCTTCCAGCCAACACTTGATTTCAGTCACATTTTTGTTCTTAAGAAATCAAACTAATAACTTCCCTGGGCAAAAGCAGCTAAGGGAACTGTGGTACTGGGTTTGCCCTTCCTACACGCAACCACACTGAGGAAACATTGGTGACAGCAGCAAAAAAGGACCATTTTGGGGATGGATAGTGCAGGGAGAGTGTTGCATTCCTCTGTGGAGCAGCAGGGGGGAAGAGGAATTTGCCCTCAGGGAGCAAAGAGATTCCATACTGTGAGATAAAGGGCTGAGGAAGCATCAGGTGTAAATACATAGCAGTAAAAGCACTGAACTCCCCAAAACCACCTTCTAAACTCTCCAAACTCCACTCCTAAGCTTTCCAAACTCACTTCTGTAGAGAATTTACAGTGTCCACAGAACAGGACACATTTCTACAGTTCAAACAATTAAACAACTGAAGTAATACCTATCTGTTTAATACCAACCTCGAGGTACCACTGAGGAATCCACCTGCCCTGGGGATTACATCCTCCCAACCAGCCATGATTTAAGTGTATTAAACTTCAGAAATCTGACTTTGTGCACAAAAAAAGTATGGATCATGAAAAGAAAATCCCAAATAGTGTTTGTGCTGCAGCAATGGGCTGACACCACCTCAAACATCACCTGTAAATGGGAACTGTTCCCCATCCTTTCACAGCTCCCCCTTGGCTCCTCTCTGGTGCTCCCTGAAGTCCTTCTACTTTAATTAAGATATATAACATTGTCCAAAATCAAATGGGCAAAATTCAAAACCAACAGCAAAAAAAGTTCCTTTTCTCCACAATATAAAGTGTTTCTTGCTTTGTGCAACAACACTGTGATTCCATTGTTTTCCAACCAAACGTTTCACAGTAATACTTCAAAACAGCATGTCTAACGGTGCTTTAAGAAGTTCCAAGGGACAAAATGTCCTTCTGCCACTCTGCCTTGGAAATTAGACAATCACAGACTGGTTTGGGTTGGAAGAAACATTAAACATCAACTAGTTCCAACTCCCTGCCATGGGCAGGGACACCTTCCACTACACCAGGTTGCCCCAAGCCCCATCCAACCTGGCCTGGGACACTTCCAGGAATGGGTCAGAGACAGCTTCTCTGGGCAATCTGCGCCAGTGCCTCACCACCATCATAGGGAACAATTCCTTCCCAATATCTCATCTAACTCTGCCCTCTGGCATTGGGAAGCCATTCTGCCTTGTCCTGGCACTGCCTTAGCTCTCCCACCTGTAAGCTGGAAGTGATGGATGTCAAACCCTAGTGAGTGACAAGTGGCATCAGCTCCAGCAAAACATGCTCAGCTGTTCCAAAAGCAAGGGGACATTATCCAAGCACAGACAAGATTTGTGCAGACCTAAAGAAGGTGACTTTGGTGCTCATATGATGTTTCCATGATGGTTGTTTTCCACTTCGTTCCCTCCCAGTGTGATCAAGGCCATAGTTGGTGCAAAGTTCAAGGCATTTTACTTCCATGCACAGTGCCTTGTCTTATAAACATTACAGCTTCTCTGGGCAACCTGTGCCAGTGCCTTACCACTCTCACAGGGAAGGATTTCTTCCCAATATCCCATCTAACCCTGCCTTTTGGCAGTGGAAAGCCATTCTCCCTTGTCCTGTCAGTCCATGCCCACGGACTTCCCGGCAGTCACATCCCACCTCCGTCAGCCCGACGTTTTTCCTCTTGATGACATTCTGTAAGCAGTTGCTCAGTGTTCGGGTCAGCAGCAGGTTTGTAGATTTCCTGATCATATCATCAACTTCAGTGGAGCTGCAAAGCAGAATTGAAAGAGAGTTTTGCAAAATGTTCCATGAAAGGAAAATCACCTGCAGACCTCATCCTCCTCCTTCTCAGCACTCCTCTGCCTTATACATCATCCATGCACTGCTCACAGGTGATGACATACTGATATATACCAACAATTTAGGACTTTTTGGGCATGTTTTGGAAAGAAACGTGGATAACACATGCTAAACCTACATCCCAAAGCCTCTCTTGGAGGGAATGGTCCAGCTCAGGGAAGAACAACCCACAGCATCAGCACTAACCCATGTGACCAAGCCACCTCCCTGCACCTCCCTCTCCCTGGCAAAAGGGAATGGGCTGACACCACCTCAAACATCACCTGTAAATGGGAACTGTTCCCCATCCTTTCACAGCTCCCCCTTGGCTCCTCTCTGGTGCTCCCTGAAGTCCTTCTACTTTAATTAAGATATATAACATTGTCCAAAATCAAATGGGCAAAATTCAAAACCAACAGCAAAAAAAGTTCCTTTTCTCCACAATATAAAGTGTTTCTTGCTTTGTGCAACAACACTGTGATTCCATTGTTTTCCAACCAAACGTTTCACAGTAATACTTCAAAACAGCATGTCTAACGGTGCTTTAAGAAGTTCCCAAACCCCCAAAATCCCTTCCCAGCCTTCTCATGGCTTTAAGTAAATCACAGAATCGTTGAATAGCTTGGGTTATAAGGGACTTTATATAGTCCATCTAATTCCACTCCATCCCCCTGCCATTGGCAGGGACACCTTACACTAAAACAGGGTGCTCCAAGCCCCATCCAAACTGGCCTGGAACACTTCCACGGATGGGGCAGCCACAGCTTCTCTGAGCAAACTGTGCCAGTGCCTCACCACCCTCACAGCCAAGAATTCCTTCCCAATATCCCATCTACCCCTGCCCTCTGGCAGTGGGAACCCATTCCCCTTTGTCCTGTCCCTCCATTCCTTGTCCCAGGTCCCTTTGCAGCTTTCTTAGAGCTCCTTTAGCCACTGGAAGGGGCTCTTAGGTCTCCCTGGAGCTTCTCTTCTCCAGACTGAATGCCCCCAGCTTTTCCAGTCTGGCTCCAGAGCAGAGGTGCTCCAGTCCTTGGAGCATCTCCATGGCCTCCTCCGCACTCACTCCAGCAGCTCCATGTCCTTCTGCTGTTACTGCCTCAACAGAGCTCTCAGAGCCTCAGACTGGAAACTCTTGCAACAAATTCCTGCCCTTTGCCAGGTGGTTGCAGCTGCAGCATCACTGAAATGTGGGGGTTTGGCTTTGTCCCCTCCAACCTGAACCCTAGCAAGGTGTAACCTCTCCTTTCTGCAGGAGGTTTTGGAACCCCACCCTGTCACAGGCTCCTTTGATCTGTCCTTGGCCCTGCATTAGCCCTGACACCACGGAGCTTTGTCTCTGGCAGCACAGTGACAGGCAGGGGAGGGCACAGAGAATTTCCACTGGGACGTCTGAGAAGTGTTAATAACTTTGAGGCTCCTGGTAAAACAAGCCTATGACCTTTGGCTCCGTCTCCTGTTCTCCCTGACAAATGAGCCACATTACACAGCAGAGATTGACATGAGAAACAAAAGCAAAGCTTGAAGTTCCCTCAGTGCTGGTGAGGAAGGTGGGGAATGTTGGGATGCTGCTATTAGGGTGCCTGCTGGTGTGGGGATGGGCACTGCCAGCCCTTGTCCAGCTGCCAGCTCCCAAATTTGTAATCTTGGCTCAGTGTATCTGCAAAGCAAGACAGCCTTTGCCAAGAGCAACCCAGTAGCCTCCCAGAACCACTCATCCTTCCCCCACACTGGTATCCTACAGTCAACTTAATTCTGGTAGTTATTCAGGACCTTCCTTGTGCTGCTGCATGAGAACTGCACTGAAATTCCCCAAATTCTCTGGAGAAGTGGCAAATATTGCTCCCCACTCACATGCCTGAGCGAAGTCATGTTTGTATTTCTCTAGTGGAAGGTGTCCCTGCCCATGGCAGGGGATGGAACGAGATGAGCTTTAAGATCCTTTCCAACCTAAACCATTCCATGATTCTGTGATCCCTGGGAAATCCTAAAATACAGTATATAGGGAGTCCCAGAGCCTGCCTCTCAGGACAGTGGAGGTTGGAGCTGGTGGCTGGAACTCTAGGCACCTACTGGAGAAAGCAGAGATGACAAACATGGGGATTTGGCCACGACAGCAGCTTTCCTCACTAAACCAACACGGCAATCAGATACACCACACTGCAAAGGTTTGGGGGTTTAACTCCAATGTCAGCCTGTCATCAGGACATCACAACTAAAGCAGGCAGCAGTGCCTGGCTGTGTGCACGCCCCAGGACAGTCACACTCCTGGCAGCAGTGGTGCCACTGCAAGACGCCACAGCCAGTGCTGACGGCACAAGGTTCTTGTGTCAAGGAACACTCTGAAATCAAAGGGTTCCTTTAATCACTCACTTCAGCTGCAGGAACATGCCAACCGTGACAGCCTCCAGGGCATGAACAAGTAGTGCTTAATGATACTGCTCAGCAGTTCCAGGCTGCTTTTAGTTCTTCGGAGCTCTTCTGACTGAACTTTCTCTGCATACGAGCACCAATTTTTGACTCTTACCATAGAATCACAGGATCTTTGGGTTGGAAAAGCCATCTGAGATCACTGAGTCCAATCTTTCCCCCAGCACTGTCAACGTCACCACTAAATCATGTCCTCAAGTGCCACATCCACATGGCTTTTAAATCCCTCCAGGGAAGATGACTCCACCACTGCCCTCTGCAACCCCTTCCAATACTTGAGCACCCTTTCAGTAAAGAAACTTCCTCTAACATACAACCTAAACCTGCCCTGGCATGACTTCAGGCTGTTTTCTCTTGTCCTATCTTCCATGAACTCCAAACACTGAGTAAGGAAAAAAAGATGGAGGCATTCCTAGAAAAACAAAAAGCAGGATTTGACCAGGCACTGGACTGGGATTGCCCAAATCTTCCTCGGTTGAACGGAAGAGGTGAGTGAGGTTGGAACAGGAGTGATGGGTGTCAGACTTGCCTTGCCCAGCATCTCCCAGCTGAAATGATGAACCAAGCAGTAGTTCACACTAGCAGCCCAGACCCAATGTCTAGACCATTGGCGCCAGTAAGCAAAGGGTAATGGGACCAGTGAGCGGTACGATGCCAACTTGTAGCGATATGGATGCCTTGTAGTGATAGGACAAAGGAGAATGGCCTGAAGCTGCAGGAGGGAAAGCTTAGATGGGATATTGGGAAAAACTTCTTCCCTGTGAGGATGGTGAGGCACTGGCACAGGTTGCACAGAGAAGCTGTGGCTGCCCCATCCCTGCAAGTGTTCCAGGCCAGGTTGGATGGGGTTTGGAGCAACCTGGTTTAGTGGAAGGTGTCCCTGTCCATGGCAGGGAATGGAACTAGATGGTCTTTAAGGTCCCTTCCAACTCAAAGCATTTCATGATTCCATGACTTGAGTGTGATGCAAAGGTTGGGTCTCAGCTCAGCAGACAGGTCAGATCTCCATCCTCAATACATCAAAGTAAACAATGGTGGTGGTGGTGGCTGCTCACTGCTCACATCTGAGCTTCAAACTGGTAGAAGTTAGTAGTGGCGTAGTTGTTACTAAGCCTACACACTCAGTCTACAAACAGTAGTAGCTGTAAAACTACAACCTCACTTGTAACACAGAAGCAGCAAAATGAGCACAGAAAGCACATTTATCTTCTCTCTCTTAGAGCTGACTTCCACAGGTCCTTCCTGATATAGTTACTCAAACCTCTGAGTTTATTTCAGTTTATTTTTAATAAATTTAAGTACTTCTATTATTTTCAGCACTTCAATCCCAACTTCTTTCAGAATTTGTGCTTTATTTCCCAGAAAAAAAACACCCACCCCAAAACCAAAGACTTAAAGCCTTAGATTAGAGCTGCCACCTCATCCTTCCTCTCACTGTTTTCAAAGATATTCCCTATCTTTCAAATGGGAAATTCCACTGGAACAAGCAGAAGTCTTCCAGTGAGTTGTTACTTTTAAAGACAACTTGAACTCACACTTTTAACAAAGGGAAAAAGTGCTGAAAACATAAAGGAGGTTTTCTTCCTCCTAATCAAATTAACAGAGCCAATAACAAAAATTCCAACCCCTTAAACACACAGTGAGTTAAAACTTTTCTTCAGATACTTGAAAAGCAAAATAACCTTCACTGGAGTATCAACACAAAGGAGAACATTCCCATCCAACAAATACAAGGAGCTAGTTTAGAAAAATAATTAGGGAAAAACCCAGGAGCTCCATTTGCTGCCACAGGCTCTGTTCTTCAGGAAAAGAGCACAGAGCCCTGAAGGGAACTGTCTGTGTTAATGACAGCTGATGTCCTGTATCCCCTAGCAGTAGTCATGACCTTCAGGCCTCCTGTGACTGACAGGCTGACCCTGATCACTCCAGGGTGTGAGGGAAATGACAAGCAAAGAAGAACAAGAAAGAGAAGAGAAAGAGAACTTGCTGGCGGCTTTGTAGCCAAACTCCCTAATAAAACCTAATTCAAGCTGTCAGGGTGAAATGAAGAAAGTGTCAACAGGGGTTTTCAGAGAAATATTCCAAATGTTTGGCTAGAAAAGCCAGAGCTGAGTTCCCATCCCCCAGCACAACAGCACTCCTCAGAAAGGGCTGGAAAAGCCAATGTCGAAAGGAATGTTAATAACGTGTCCGAGGGGACCCCTGAGGAAGGACCCAAGGGGACACTTTTCTTCCCTTCCCTGACAAAGCCAATCAAGTTGGTAATGGTGAAGAGCACAAAAGTCGGGAGGGAAGTGCCAAGGGAGGGGCTGGGTGAGAGCAGCATCCGTGTGAAATCAGAGCGATGTGTCGGCTCCAGAAACTGAGAGGTTTCATGGTGACCCAAGGGTTAAGAGCCCTGGGAGCCACCAGAGAACAACCTGCCACCACTGAAAGGCTGAGATGAAACGTGGGGTGAGAAATGTCCTGTGCTTCCACATCAACCAATGAACTACTGCATCCTCGAGCAGGAGATGGAGAGAAAGTGTCTGAGCAAATTAGTGTCCCTCACACAAAGGGAGAGAACTAAAACCCTGAGTAGCTTTATGTAGGCACTGAAACATCTGGTGAGTTCACACAACACTGTTCCAGCTTCACATCAGCACTGCAGCAAGCACAGAATGGTTTGGGTTGGAAGAGATCTGAAAAACCATCCAGTTCCACCCATGCTGTGGGCAGGGACAACTTCCACTATACCAGGTGGCTCCAAGCCCCATCCAACCTGGCCTGGAACACTCCCAGGGATGGGGCAGCCACAGCTTCTCTGGGCAACCTGTGCCAGTGTCTCACCACCCTCACAGGGAACAATTCCTTCCCAATATCCCATCTATCCCTGCCCACTGGCAGTGGGAAGCCATTCCCCCTTGTCCTGGCACTCCAGGCCCTTGTCCCAGGTCCCTCTGCAGCATTCTTGGAGCCCCTTCAGGCACTGGAAGGGGATCTAAGGTCTCCCCAGAGCTTTCTCTTCTTCAGGCTGAACACCACCATCGCTCCCAGCCTGGCTGCATAGAATAGGGGTTCCAGCCCTCAGAGCATTTCCATGGCCTCCTCTGGACTCACTCCAGCAAGTCCAGTGTTAGGCCACTGCCAGGATATGAAGCTGTCAAAGGAGGTAAAAACACCCTCTCCCCAGTCCAACCTATCTCCAGTATGGTGCTGCAGAGAGAAGGGAAGAAGGATTTCTCCTTCCAGTAAAAATCCTGTTGCTCATTTTTATACCTCTCTCCCAGCTGAAGCTGTTAGTGAGAGCAGAAAAAAAGCACCAACATGCAATTTCTGGCAAATACAGCTGGTTTTCAGTCTCACACACATACACATGGGTAAAGCCAGCATCAAAGCCCCTTGGGATGGAGGAAGGAGGGTAAATACATGGAACATTTTGCAGGCTTTAAAAAAAAATCAGATTATTTGTATATAAACTCCCAGGAGAAACAAGAATAACAAAATCTCCAAACCAGCAGCGAAACTCATTAAGGCACAAAAATCCAAACCTCCAGAGTCTTCTTGACAACACATTCATGGAATCCCTTCCTTGAGGGACATAGATATAATTCCCATTCCTTGAGGGACAGTCCAGGGAGGCCATGTGGAGGTCAGAGATGTTCTATCGGGAAATGACCCAATGACAAGTGAACCACAATCTGTCTTGAGGCAATCAAGTTCACTTCTTTAGTCTAACTGACTCAGAAATATCTTGCAGGGAGCAGTTCCCTCACTCTTTGTACAGCTAGCATTGTCCTGGGCTGTCTTCCCTGGAAGTGTCCAAGGCCAGGTTGGATGGGGTTTAGTATCATAGAATGCTAAGGGGTTGGAATGAACCTTAGAGATCATCTAGTCCCAACCCCCTGCCCTGGGCAGGG